GTTTTTTTGTTTGTTTGTTTGCTTGCTTGTTTGCTTGCTTGGTTGTTTGTTTGTTTTTGTTTGTGAGGACAGGGCTTGGTGTTTTGGGGTCTGGGACGTTGGGGTCGACTTGGGCACCGTTTGAAAAGGCTGAGGTCTGATAGAATCGTTGAATGCTTTGGTGAGGCACCGATTTAGGGCCCTAGGGTTGGAGGAGCTGGAGTACTGGCGGGTTCACACGCAGACATAACTATGGCAGCTGCAATATCCCCTGCATGCACAGTGTAGAGCTGTGCCAGGGCATCAGTGTCTCACTTTGCACCACAACTCGTAAAGCCCTAAAAGCACAATCCTACATCCTAAACCATAAACCCATAATGCTCAATCTTAGGGTCCTCTACAACCAAAAAAGACAGTTTAGTAATCTCTGGGAGTTTCATGCTCATAGACTTGAAAAACTCCTAAGAAGACTCAGGGAATCCTGCTATAATTTCAAGCAAACCCTAAACCCTATACCCTAAACCCCAAACCTTAAACCCTAAGCCCTAAACCCGGAACCCTAAACCCTGAGCCCTAAATCCTGAACCCTAAACTCTGAACCCTAAACCCTAAACCGCAACCCTGGCACGTCCTCATCCTCCACACGTAAAGAATCGCTGTGAAGGGCATGATACCTGGCAGCTCGTTAGACGAGCTTGAACTCAGGTGTTCGGGTTTAGGAAATATTTTGTTCAAGGTTTAGGGTTTAATTACGGGTTTGGGGTTTAGGGTATAGGTTTTAGGGGTTTTGGGGTTTAGAGTTTAGGGGTTTAGGCGTATTCGTTGTGCTGGGGTTGGGGCCTAGGTTCAAGGCTTCTTGCCTTAGGGTCAGGATTTCAGACAGGATTGCCGGTTTATAGGTTCTGAGCTTTAGGACAGTACTCTCCTAAACCATGCGAAATACCTGCTGTGTTTGTTCTGACATGTAAGTACTAAGATCCTATGTGTCGAGAAACCAAGGGGGAGGGTCTTCAAAAAACCTTAAACTCTAAACCCTCCAAAAAAATAAGGGTTTAGGGCTAAGGTTGAGGAAATTGCAAGCACCTAGTTGTCACTGCCTTAGCCTACTCGCACTGCACGTACTACCTTGAACAGGTTGAACAGTTGTCCCTACGAGTGCATTCCGCCAGTCAGTGCTTGTAAGTTTCGAGGAAGTCACGAAATAAGCTTGTGGTGTGGACTCATCCCGAAGTAGACATGCAACTCATCGAGAAATAGAGCAAGCTAATGGTTGAAGAGATACACATTTTGTAGAAGTAAGTACATTATATATACACATACGTACACATGTCTTAATCTATGCTGAAGAGGTCTTTTGTTGCTTTGTGTGAAGGGCATCTCTTCAACTTTGATATCTTGCAAATGCACATCTCGCGAATTGATACGGCTATATATATATACTGTTGGAATTGTTGAGTTCAATGGTCAGATCGTGCTCAGGATTCCGGCCTAGTCTTAGGCAAACCAACCGCCAATGCCGCTTGTAGCAACTGCGCTGGGCGCATCCGTCCGTGCATTCATACATGCATGCATTCGTTTGTTTGAACCAGTTCTTTTAAAAACATACACATGTCTCTGTGTGTGTATAACATACATAATACATGTATATATCATGCAAGTGTGAAGATGTGAACATGTAAACTCTCAACTTGACTATTGAAACCAACGGGTAGTTCTCTAAATTAGGGTCCCTTTTAAGCACCCTTAAAAAAAAAGAAGGATCCCACAACTTTTGGGGTCCTTCTTATAAGGGTGCCGTACCATACTGGGGGCCCAAAAAGGGACCCTGATTTGGAGAACTACCCGGAAGATGTCGAAAACTTGTTGCCGAGCAGCCCATGGCCCAGCCAGGAAGACCGAACCAGAGCCTGGTGGTCGGCTTGACTAGCCCTATTTGGGTTTAGGGTTCAGGGTTTAGGGTTTAGGGTTCAGGGTTTAGGGTTTAGGGCCCTAATGAATAGAATAGGGTTTCGGGCTCCTTTGTAGTAGAGTTGTAACAAGGAACCCTAAGGAATGATATTGGTAATGATTTAGGCTTGTAAAGCAGGTTCAGCCTGTAGAGCTTTGGGTTTGGATAGGGTTCAGGGGGTTCGAGGTTGAGGGTTCTGGGTTAAGGCTTACAGCTGCTAACATCCGGCCCACTTGCTGCTTACGTAGGCTTAACCTAGACCCTTCGAAACATACCTTTCTTTTGTAATTTATGGCCTTCATTTCTTTTGTTTTGCAGGGGGGTTCGTGTACCATGGCGTACGTTGTCTGAGGAAGGCAGCCGTGCAGGTCTAGAAGGGGCAACGAGCTTTACCTGGCTTTCAAGAGGTGATTATGGTTTCGTAATTTGGAACCACAGTCTTCATAGGGGCGTCGGTGCAATACTTTTCGCATTGGTGTTCATGGGAGTGTTTGCCAAGTTACTTGGTGCTATCGTAGATGCAAACGTCAGTAGGTAGAGTGTGTCACAGGTCCTAAACCCTGAGCCCCTAAACCCTTATAGAACCCTTATCGAACCCACATAGAGATCTCTTGAAGGAACCGTTAACGAAACCCTTCACGAGCCCCTATTGGGTCCTCAAGTTGGGGGAAAAGCTGAACTCTATCTGCTCTGTCTGAGGCTCCATGTACCTATATAATTCGTATATACGATTAAGCCTTGAAAGGGCTCCTATAACTATCGGTACTTCAAGGTCAAAGTATACACTATTTGGGTACATGTACCCTTAAACCCCAAGCCCCAAAGCCCATAGAACCATGTTGAACCCTTGTACTTAGAACCCGTATAGTACCCCTAATGGAACGCTTGAAGGAACCGTTACAGGCACCCCTAGAGGAACCCTGAAAGGAACCCTTAAAGGAGCCCTTAAAGGAACACTGCAAGGAACCCGCAAAGGAGCCCATACATGAGACTTCCCTTGAAAGAACCCTTAAAGGAACACTTAAAGTAACAATTAAACGTGCCCTCACAGGAGCCCACAAAGAAGCCCTTGAAGGACGCCTTAAGGCACATGGAGCCTTGCGCACTGGGGCCCCGGGCGAGCCGCCGAAGAACCATGCCAAACGGAGCACGAGGTTCCAGTGGTTCTGCAGCCTCTGTACCTGTTGGCGGGGTTAGGGTTTGGGGTTTAGGGTTTAAGGCTTTGCTTCTGTTAAGGTTTAGGGGACTAGGGTCTAAGGCTTCGGGTCTCGAGTTTTGGACGTTCGGGTTCTACCTGCCTTTGTACCTGCCTTCGGCGTTCGGGGCACAGGGGTTTGGAGATTCCACGGATTTTGCAGCCTCTGCACCTGGCCACTGTTCGGGCTTCCAGGGTTTGGTGGGGTTTAGGCCTAAACCCTAAACCCTAAACCCGGGTTTCGGGCTTTGTGGCTTTTGGGTGTCTTGGAGACTTTGGGTATGACGAGGCAGGTGTAGACGTAGCCGGCGGGAATACGAGGGAGTCTGGGCAATCTGGGGCCAGGTCCCTGAGAATTGCTTGGAATCAAAGGAGACCGTAAAGGACATCGTAATGTAGAACCCTTACGTATGGGGAGCCCCCTGAAGGGCACTCGCTCATCCGAGGCGGGGAGCGCGTCGACTCCCTGCCCGAGGCTCCACAGCGACCAAGCGAGGAAGCCCACCTTCGGAGTACATGGCTAGTTCTCTAAATTTAGGATCCCTTTTAGGATCCTTTCTATAGAGGGTGCCGTACTATATTATATTTGGGACTCAAAAATGGACCCGAACTTAGAGAACTACTCATACGGTCTAGAATTGGGGTTTGGGGTTTATGTAGGGCTTTGCGGGTTACGGGCACCTTCACATGAAGGGACTTCGAACGGGAACCCAATGCTACACAATAAATGCTTTTCGGGTACCTACCGCCAACCCTGGGCCTCCAAATTAAGGGGCGGCCACAATCGAAAGGACGGCTGTGCTGGAGATAGGGGCCTTGACAGGGCCTTGACAATTAGAGTACGGTTGGGGGGGGGGGGTATGTTGTTGTAGTACGACTACGCTCAGGAACCCGAAGCCCTAAGCATATTTTGGGTAATTCTTCAGGCTTTTATACTGTGCTCTTAGAGGCATTCATATCATCATGGGCTTCTATGATTCTATGAGGGTTTTCTCATTTCCAGAAGGCAACCGAATTACCACCATGCCTGCCAGAGGTAGATCAGCATGCGATCAGAGATTATCCTACGGCGGTACCTGTGTGTTTAGACCCTGAACCCTGAACCTTAGAGTTCCGGATTTTGGGGGCTGGCCATTCCAAGGCCCCCACGTAGCACACACAGCTTGGACGCTCTGACTCACTGAAGGCGAAGTTGAGAGCGATCTAGGGGCCCCTTTTGGGGGCATATTATAAATAATGTAAGCCCAAAAGTTGGAACCCAATAGCCGCAACCCTTGACATTAATGTATAGGGAATCCCAGCACTATTTGTCCTTAATCCGGTTCCCAACTTTTGGGGGTTTACTGTAGTTATAATAATAAAGAACCACCAGAATTTTATGGAAACCCATCAAGTATTAAGGCACCTACATTAGGCTTACTTAATGTAATAAGGCTTGGGAGACACACTTTTGTAACAGAATTTATGTGTATGTATATATATATATACATACGTACATACATACGTACATACATACATACATACATACATACATACATCATACACACACACATAAATATATATATATATATATATTATACATATACATCTATACACATATATGTATAAATAAATAAATAAACAAATAAATAAAATTAATATAAACATATATATATATATGTCTATATAGGGAATATCGGGGCGGTCTTGTTGCTCGCGATTCATCGGACCTTTAAGCGAACCCTTACATGAACCCTGAAAGAAACCCTTCTTGGGGAAGCCTGGAAGGTCCAGAAGAGGTAGTAGTGGGGCGCCACGCGCCACTGGATCTTCCGGTATAGGATCCAACTGCCCCGGTACCTCGGGCTCAGTTTAGGCTTAAATAGTGCTTTAGGGAACACTGAATCTGTGTGGTAAAAAGAGTTCCCTGGGTCTGACGTTCAGGTTTTATAGGGTTCCCCTCAGTTGAACCCTCGAAGGTCCACATACTGCGCATGTACTGTAGGCTTGGGGTTCACAAGGGCTTCAGCATTCGGGTTATGGGGCTTTCAAGGTTTTCCGGGTTGGGTTAACAGGTGTTGAACTTGAACCCTAAACCCTAAACCCCTCCATCTGATGTCTTCTTCGAACCCCCTGCCTTAACCTACCAAAGCCTACTTTCTTGGAAGGGTCCCTATACACCTACAAAGAAATAGTCTATGGTAGTTTAAGGTGAATGGAAAGCCTTGTTCATGCGCCGTTTGAAAGCGGGAAGGCGACCGCCGGAATCGGGGCTGGCACTGCCTGACTTGGAGCTGGCCTTGTGCCCCGATTAGGGTTTAGGGTTTAGGGTTTAGGGTTTAGGGTTTAGGGTTTAAGGCACAATCTATTCTGAACGATTGGGTGGTGCAAAGAAATGTATACCTGATCCATGCATTCTGAAGACAGACTCTAGACTCTAGACTCTCCACCCTAACTCCTAAACTTCCTAAACCCTATAGCCCTCCCCCTAATCTGAACCCAAGAAGGTCTGAGCCCCAACCACAGCCCCTAAGCCCAACACAAACCACAAATCCCCAAACCCTAAAGCTGCAAATAGGGTACCCGAAAGTCCTCATAGTCCTGCACTGCGACCCTTGCGGAAAACAAAGACCCTAGACCCAGCTCCGATGTTCAGTCGAGAAACTTTTCCTCGAAGTGGAAGATATCCATCTCCTGGCCGGTGCAGGGCTTAGGGGGCTTCGGGTTGCAGAAGCTGCATCTCTTAACCCCGGAGAAAAGGGTATGAGATTGATCCTTCAACGGGTCTCGGGAGGAGTCTGGGTAGGGGATGGGAAGGTGTGACGACATATATAAATCGTGGATTGAGCTTTCTTGCGTGTGTGCGTGCTATGAATGTGGCACCCTGCACCGGCTAACTTCCTCGCATGCCCACATGGGAAGCCTGTGCTATTCACGTAGTTGTCTCAAATCGAGTGCAGGAGATTCTACAAACCCCAAACCCTAAACCCCAAACGCAAAACCCTAAACCCGGAGGGAATCAAGGCTTGGTTCTTTGTATCCGGCCCTAAAACCTATAAAGCCGAGAACAGCCTAGAACCATCGCTCAGCTCCAAAATCGGAGACCCTGTATGTCTTCGTGCGAATTCTTACATGTCCTCAGCTCGAAATTCAATACCCTAAACCCTAAACCCTGAAACCCTAAACCCTCAGCCCTCTCCAGGCTCCCAAACCCTTACCCTCGAAGCCAAAACCATAAATGAAGCTTGCGTTAAACTGAGAAAACTGAAGAAGACAAAAGGGTAGTTCTCCGAATTAGGGTGCCCGGGTGCCGTACTATTTTGGGGACCTAAAAGGGACCCTACCTTAGACAACTACCCATAGCCTCACCGAGCCCTGAAGAGGACCGGAACCCACGATGGGCTAGCCACCTGGGAGCCGTTGTAGGGCTCCAAATTTGGACAACTAAACCCTAAACCCTAAACCCTAACCCCAAACCCCTAAACCCTAAACTGCCCATATGCAACATCAAGATTGCTCGGCCTTGACGTTCATCGCTGCCGGGGTGGCAGCGACCGTTTCAATGCCGCGGTGCCCGATCTCCGGGTGCCTCGGACTAGATGGCTTGAGGCTTCTTAGGGTTTATAGGGTTTAGGGCTTTGGTTTAGGGTTTAGGGTTTAGGGCCTTGGTTTAGGGTTTAGGGCTTTGGTTTAGGGTTTAGGGTTTAAGGTTTCGGGTTTAGGGCTCAGGGTTTAGGGTACAGGGTTTAGGGATTCGTGCAATATAAATGACTTCATAAGTAGACGCGGATTCCTTTAACCGGCTCCTAACAGGATTCCTTGAAAGGGCTCCTTGAAGGGCTCTACAACTACAAACCCTAAACCCAATAAATAAACCAACCTTATTACACCCTGAACTCCCACTGGATGGTTCCAGGGTATCTGCGGGGCTTTCGGGCCCATTGAGGTTTAGGGTTTGGGGGGAGGAGGGGATACGATTTAACGCTGTTGGGGTTTCTCTGTTTGGGGGGAGTTGGGGGCTTGTACTTTGAGGGCCTCGGCACGGTTTAGGGCTTATAGGGTTTGGCCCCGGTGAGGTTTTCACTGCTTGCGGTGTATAGAAGGCGCCTTAGGAAGCAGAATCGGGCTAAGGGGTGAAGCCATGGTATTGCATGGTATCGTCATGTCGGAACCATAAAGAGATTCTGTCCGTAGTTGTTCCGACCCCGATGTTCTTTGGGGACTTGGGCTCCATCAAGGCTTCAACTGTACTTGAGTCGATCGTGTTGGCACAAAGGATCCAAGGAACATCCGGGGCGATGTGCGGCATCTCCTATTCATATCGTTTTAGGGTTTAGGATTTGGGGGTTCTCCAAAATGCCTCGCAGGATCAGGGTCTCAGTGGTTACATAGGAGTTAGGATTAGGGGGACACTTAGGGATATAGACTCCCCTCTCACTAAGGTCCCTGTTAAGAGAGCCATAAGTAGGCTTAAGAAGGGTCCCCTGTAACAGGTCTCTCGAATACGACCTAGGATTACAGTTTGCGATTCAGGTTTTTGAAGCTAGGCTTTCGGCTCAAGGGTGTAGGGTTTGCGAGGATGGGGTTTCGGCACTTCTCCGGACGGCCGGAGACCTTTACGGTATGTCTTTGTACACGCAGTAAGGCGATGCCTTTCATGGTGACTGGGCGACAAAACCGGCCAGTTTAAAGCAGCGGTAGCAGCCCAAGCAACAGTAAAGACAGGGACGACAACTGTCACCAACAGTGTTTGTAAACGGAGTCACGCAGCCAGAGGTACTCAATCACAAGATCATAATGCAGATCATGTTCTCCAAATTTGGTCGGCCTTCGAAGACTACTGAACAAAACCGATGGTAGTGGCCAGGTGGCAGCTCACCATAGCAAGTTGCCAGTGCCATGAAGCACAGCTCTTGCAGAACAAACCTCGAGTAAAAGGCGCCACCAAAAGGGTCCAGGTATCCAAAGAGTTGATCTTGGGGCTCAAACTGCCTAGCATTTAGAGCTGAAAGCTTAGAAGGGGTTGTCGAAGGAGGATAGCTTGATTGTTGGTTCTGGCTGCGGCTGGCGACTGCGATTATTGAAGTTCTTGTGCAAGCGCGGTGCTGGAGCTGCTGACGCTGCCACTATTATCGTTGCTGTTGCTTGCTGTCGCTGTCGCTGCTGCTGCTGCCGCTCCTTCTGCTGCTGCTCCTCCTGCTAATCCCCTCGATGTCGTTGTTGCTGTCGCTGTCATTGTCCTCGTCCTCGTCCTTGTTGTCGCTGTTGCTGCTGCTGCTGCTGCTGCTGCTGCTGCTGTCGTGCTTGTTGGTGTCGTGTTTGTTGGTGCTGGTCTTCTTTCTTTTCGCCTCTTCTCAGCCATACTCGTTCCTTGCTGAGGTGGCGGCGCTCATACAGCCAACGGTTTGGTCTCGGAGCAGTGCTTGCCCTTACGAATCTAGCACCCTGCTCAGAAACCCAACAACTTCGAGGACATTGGACCACGCGCCGCTTGCACAATGGAGGGGCTCCATTTCAAGCGACTCTACATTGCTCATCTATCCCTGCTTCTCTTTGCTCTTTCATCTGCATCTGGTTAATGGCTTGCCTAAATATCCGGGCCATAGGCCATACTTGGTTCCAGGGACACCTCCTCAGCCCAACCATAAACACCGAACCTCTGCAAACAAACAAACATACAGAAATATATATAAAAAACAAAAACAGCATGCATCGGCCCAAAGACAACCGTATCATCATCGAAACCAAAATTCTTAAAACCTCCCCCCCCCCCCCGAAACCCTAAACTGTAAACCCTGAACTAAGCCTAAACCTAAATCCCATACCCTAAACCCTTCAAAACACTAAATTAACCCTATGCCCTTCAAAACCCTCTTTTGGGGTGCCAAGAGGCATAATGATCAGCGACGTGCAGAACCAGCCCAGGAGCAAGGGCAAGGTGAAGATCCACAGAACCTCAGAGTTGCGGCTCTAGGATTTAGGGAGTTTAGGGCCTCATTAGGGTTTAGGGTTTAGGATTGCTTAGGGTTTAGGGTTGAGGGTTTTGGCTTGAGGGTTTAGGGGCTTCGGGGTTTAGGGTTTAGGGTTTATATAGGAGGTTCGGGATACAATAGGACTTTTGCGCAGGATACATCGACTCCTATCCGGACTGCATAGAAGTTGTGCCCCATCCTGAAATCTACCCGCACCCCTGCTTCGCCACTGCGGCATGTCTATCCCCAGGTAGGACCTGATTGCGGAGTCGCCTGATTGAAGCTAAACCCTAGAAACCCTAAAGCTCTTTGGGAAGAGTACTACTTCGAGGTGATCCCATGGCTTGGGTCAGAGGGTTTCAGTGGTACTATAGGAGTAATTACACGGACCCTTATAGGAGTGCCAGGACCCCTAGGGCTAAAATCCGAAACCCGACCAGCCCTTCTGTTTGATCGCCTTGCTCGTCATAAGCTCGAGATGAGTTTCTGTCATCCACCCTTGTCTAGGCTCCCCAGAAGCCACTTCATAACGAGGTACCCTTGTTCTTACTATTTTGGGTTTAGTAAGGGCCCCCCCCCAACAAAAAAAAGTGCAAAAAGGGTACTATTGGGGAACCGAGTTGTGGTAAGATCCCAACTGAAGGCTCCTTTTAAGCGCAAGCCCTGCCCAAGAAAGCCCACGGCCCTCTTAGGAGTCGTGGCAGCGTTTATCTGCTTCGATTTAGGGTTTAGGGTTTAGGGGAGCCCTTCTGTTCGGTGGAACAGATTGTCCAGACACAAAACCAGGGACCCCTAAATCCCAAGCCCTAAGCCTTGTAGGTTCTAACCTCTGCAGAACCCTTCGACATCATCCCATAAAACCATGAATGTAAATCCTAAACCCTTATAGGTTCTATGACTATGCCCTATAGATCCCTTTCAAAACGTCCTACAAAACCATGAACCTACATATTTAACTCCCGTAGAGCCCTTGGAAATCATCACGCAGGCCCGCCGTGCTTCTCATTATCAACAAGAAACCCGAAGCCCTGTACCCGCAGGGCTACCTACACCCAAAACCCTAGAACCCTAGACCCTAAACCCTAAACCTAAACCCTAGGAACCCCCTGTGCAGCACCATGAGGCGCCGTGAATGAAGCTCATCATGCCCAGTACTGGCACATGATCGCCGCCGCTGTGCAGAACTGCATCGAAGTAGTACCTGGCTGAACCGCGGGTGGTTGTTGCAAAGGCTTGTTTTCTAGAACAATTTCGGGGTAACAAACCCTAATCCCCCCGGGTACCTACTATATAGGGTACTAGAGCTCCTAGGGCCCTATATAGTAGGTACCTGGAGGCTTTGGGAAAGTTTTGGGAGGTTTGGGAGACGTGAGTTTCGGGTATACGATGATGGGCTCATCGCAGTTCCTGAGCATCTGCATACCGAGGATGGTAAGTAGAATCATGATTGGCGGCAGCCCCGAAGCGGCGCTTCAGGAGACAGCTTCGTTTCAAGAGCCTGAACTCTACGGTCAAGAAATATTAGTGCGATGGTTCTCCTCTAGAAGCAGCCTGCTGCGACTGCGACCGATGCTGCTTCTGCTCCTGCTGCTGCTGCTGCTGCTCCTGCTGCGGCTACTGACTGCCACTACCAGCACAACCATCAATACTGCCACTGACCACCACAGTAACTACAGAGACAAAGCTGACGAAAACAACAACGACGATCGTGCGCGACTACTGTCGCATGTATGATGACAACAAGCTTGATGACTATGGCCGTGGTGATACTGATGATGACGATGGTGGCGATGACGGTGATGATGATGCTGATACGATGGTGATGGTAGTGGTGATGATGGTGATGATGATGAGGAGGAGGAGGGAGGATGGTGACGACGATGATACAGATACAGACGTTTTTGATGCCGGTGGTGATGAGGAGGGAAAAGGATAACGATAATGGCGCTCGTCGTTGACACAAGGAATATAAACGCACATCAGCCTGCTGGGTACACCCTACAACCAACACCTTGCATCCCAAATCCTCTGTGTAGCGAATTACGCTCAGGTATCGGGACCGTAGACCCTAAACCCTTAAACCCCTGAACCCAAACTCCAAACCCCTATATAACCCCTAAACCCCCAACACCTGAAGCCCCTACACCGGCAAACGGCCCTCTTGCAGCCGAAGGTGCGTGGAGAAATACCTGCCAGGGAAAAGCCCTCCAAGTGAAGCCCCGGGGGTTTTCTATATCGAAGCTCTTGTTGGACTTAGGGTTTAGGGGCTTAGGGTTTAGGGGCTTTGGGTTTAAGGGCTTAGGCGTTTAGGGGTTTGGGGTTTAAGGGCTTTGGGGTTTTAGGGATTGATTGTTTCGGTTTAATTAAGGCTTACCAAAAGTGACGACAAAGAGCTCATCGTTAAAGAAACTGTGACTCGGGACAAAAAACTGTGACTCGGGGACAAAAGACTGAAACAGCGGTCGTCTCTGATTCAGGAATAGCGGTTCAGGCTAAACCCTAAACCCCAAACTCTAAACCGTTCACGGCTTCGGAGTTTTGGGGTTTGGGTTTGCGTAGCTGTAGTCGTGAGAACCTGTGGGTGTGAGGCTTTCTGATTTCACGTCCCGCTGCACCAGAAACAGCCATCACCCTTCTAGGTAGCCCTTGCTATAACAACCATTGTGCTTGTAGTAACCCATATAAGGAGGACGTAGTAACCCTGTCCACTACTTACTAAGAGCATTGAAAAACTCTTATAATACGGTTGATGATATAAAGCCTGCATTACCCATAATAAGGAATATACAATAATTCCCATAGTTTAGGGTCCTTAAGGTATCATCAAAAGTAAACCCCAAGCCCCTGCACCGTAAACCCTAAACGCTATCAGCTCTAAACTCTTAACCCTAACCCTCCGGGTCCATGTACCCAAATAGGGTTCCTTTAAGGAGTCCTACAAGGTCTCTATAGTGATTCCATTAATAAAGGGTGCTATAGGGTTTTGTTTTTAGCTTTCCATGTACCCAAACAGTAGATACTTTGGCCCAAAGTACCCTAATAGGGACTACTTTAAGGCACAAAGTATATTACTACTTAGATACATGGACCCTTGGAGTAGACTCTGCAGCCGCAAAGCCCGAAACCCCTAGACGGCACATCCGAGACCTTTGCCTTCGGCACAATTGCTTACTTGGATAAGATCATGGGCCTTGTAAGTAAGGGTTTAGGGTTTTAGGGTTTAGGGTTTAGAAGTACCCTGATCCGGTTGTTTTAGAAATCGGAATATAGCCCTGTATAGGTGTTGAACCATTCTCTACCTACTTTTTTGGGGGTTTAGGTATGAGATCACGAGACATTGTGGCTACATATCTTCGCCTCAGCACTTCGACTTGGGCTGGGGATTCGAGGTGCCTTTGGTCCATCAGATGTCCGTGGCTCCCAGGCAGGAAGCTGCTTCTTCCGGGGGCTTGGTTTTCTCGGAAAATGCAGCCAAACCCCCCAAGAACCCCAGCCCCCAAATGTCAGTAGTTCCTGTTTATGGCTTATATTTAGAATCCCACAAGGGAATCCCCCAAAAAAGGGAACTACTTAGGGGCCTATGGGCAAAGTGCATCCAGGATACCCCGGCAGGTAGGCGATCCAGCCCCAAATAGTGAGCAGGACGGTTAGCCCGGCAGCAACTGCCTGACGCCCCAAACGGTTTCAATTGAAAAGATCCTCTCAGGGTTCCTCCCATAAGGGGTCTTTCACACTGGGCCTTGCCTTTTCCTACATGGCATGTACTTGGGCCTTAAAGTAGTCCCTAAAAAGGGACTTAGGGGCCAAAGTATAGACTAGTTGGGTACATAGACCCTTGGGGTCAGGGTTCCTCCCAGAAGGGGTCTTTCACCTGGGATGCGCCTTTTTACGACCGAATTTCCAGGATGTGAACCGATGCGAACTCCTGAACCCGAGCATCCTGAAAGGCTTCTGGGTTACCCTAACCCCCCAGGTACCTACTATATAGGGTACTAGAGCCCCTGCATGGGGCCCTATAAAGTCGGTACCTGGGAGGTTAGGGTTGATTAAGGGTTCAGGGTTTGGTGGTTTAGTGTTTAGGGGGGCTTGGATCGTTGCCCCTTCGAGAAATCCTCGAGAAGACGTAGCAGCTGCACTACGTGGCTTCTCTCTATAAAAATTTGCTAGGCCTGTCGCAACGACACAAGACACTGATATACCCTGCATTTCACTAATCCGTCACTCCACATTCTGCAGGTCCGGTTCTAAAGCTCAGACAGCCAACGACACCCAGGGCGCGTAGCAATCGAAACCCTAAACCCTAAACCCCACACACTAAGCCTTAAACTAACACATTCAACTCTAAAAACCTAAACCTGCGGTTGAACCCTAAACCATGATAAACCCAGGGACTAAACGGCCCCGTATGCTAAACTCATATCATCTCCGCGGTCCTAAACTCCCCAAACAAGACGTCGCGAGCTTGCTCAAATCGTCTGAGCCGGGCTCAGGGGGCGAGGGACCAACATATGAACTCCCAACGCCAAGACCTCGAGCCCTTAAACCCCAAAAATTACTAAAGCCCGACCCCAAGCCGCCGAGCTCTAGCTTCGAGTTTCGCATCCTCAGCCCCTCCAGGCGAGCTGCGGTCAGCCGCCGCACTCGCTTATGAAGCCGCTGGGCCTGATCTAGCAGGCCAAGAGGGTCCACATATGCTACTATGGAATTAGCTCCCCAAAACCATACCATCCTTTGGGACCTAGCAAATTCCATAGTGGTATAATATACATGGACACTCCGGGATGTAGACCCCCTGATTAACAAGCCCCTTTTCGGCTTCGCCAAAAGCCTCGACAGTTGGGACCTCAACCCGCTAAACCCTAAACCGTACGCCCGCAGGTTACGGGGGTATAGCGGGGGGGGTGGGTGGGTATAGGGCTACCTGGAGCTTGTAACTGGGGGTAGTCCAGAAGAGTTTGGCAGGATTTTAGGGCTAGGGACGGTGGAGTTGACATAGGCAAGGGCTTAGTGCTTTATAGCCCACACTTTTCTAGTTTATACTGTTTTGGGTTCAGTGCTTTAGTGTTCGAGCTTTGTGGGAAACCTGGATCCATCGCCCAGTTCGGTGATGACGAGGCCTGGATGGTCGCACGCAGGGTTGCTGAGGCTTTGTGGGCTAGGTTTAGGGGTTAGAGAGGGTTCAGCGCTTAGGGTCTAGGGTTTCGCGCTTAGGGTAGGGCGTGCTTGCAGTGCAAACCTGAACACAGAAGTCTTACAAACACCCCATGACCCCCCCCCCCCCCAAAAAAAAAA